TAGACCATAATCCATGTTTACTTTGCTACCCGTACTTGTGACTAAGAAGGCACAAATTGGCACATTGGTTCTAAAGAGAATCCTGGAAATAAAAATTCCAAACAATATAGTACCATCCTTTATGCTAAAGTGCGTCCTCAAAACTCTAAACAGGACTCCAGAAGGAAGACAAGTCCTGTACCCCAGATTTCTAACAATTAGCAACATGGAGAATTGACCAAAAGGAGGGATGCAATGTTCAAATTCTGTTTGCTGGCCATCATTTGAGTTGGCTGTAAGTGATTAATATTTTGATAGAAGACTGTCTTCTTTTATATTTAAATGTGTTGCCAAAAAATTCACAGGCCTTCCGTAATTCTTGAATTAAATGTTCTGAAATTCTAGTGAAGGTTAATGAGCACCAAATACTACTGTTACTACTATGTTTTCTGTTAAAAGTATGAAATGCAAAAATCTAGAGATTCTTTTCCAGTAAAGGAATGTAAAGAGATTTCCTTAAAATTATAAAAATTTCAAATTCTGTGATGCCTTTTATTCAGTAAATACCATAAAATTAAAAGTATCAGTGGTCCTTCTTGGGAAACAATATTGGCATTCCTTATTCTTACAACTAAAAACCTAAACCAAAGAGCCTTTGCGGTATAATTACTACAGTCCTGGGGAAAAAAAGATGAAGCAAAGGCTTCCCTGTAACAGAGCAAGGGAAAACACTGACCTATAGTAGCCGGAGAAGGAAAAAATATTGTAAACCCATTGTAATCCACCCATATCTATCGAGTGTCCTTTGTAACATTGATGTCTACCTCTGATAACAAGAGGGGTAGGCAGAGTCTAAAGTTAGAATATCAAATACATCTGAAAAGAAAACAGGCCGAAAAAGAATCACTTCTATCGGGCACTAGCCAAATGGCCATTTCTATGTACTGGCTTCTTTCAAAATATTCAATCACACCTAATAATTGACAGAGAACACAAAAAAGCTCTCACTCCCATGCTGTTGCATTCACTTCCCCTGGGGCATATGGCCATTTGTAGCCACTGGCAGCCGCAAGGAAAAAAACCCCAGGAAAACCAGACATGTTCAATTACACCCCCACCCCTCCTGCCTTGAACCTCTCTGTTATTAATATACTTTTGCCTTCTGGGTTAGGAAAGGGTCCTTAAAAGCATCAAAGTAACATTTTTCGAACCTTTCTGTTAGAGAACTAAAGGGTTTTTTTATTAAGAAAAATATAAAGACAAGCTAAAATATCAAATATCACATTCAATTGATGATTCCTGAACACTTTTCATTTAATAAGCTTCTCAATGGTTTGTTAGAACTAAGAACATGTCTCACAGAATAAGATACATGTGTTATGAAATCCCTACAAAAGAAGAATGATCATTCTTGCTTTGAAATATTTCTTATTTTTACTGCTTTAAAAAATTTGGTTTTTCTTCTCCATCTCTGTGCTGCATGCTGTCTAGACAGAAATGTATAATTAGTTGGGTCCAATCTCAGAAGGAGTAACAAGAGTAAATGTATTTTCTCATTTACGAATTCCAAAACTGTGTGGATAGAACCCTTTGTTTTTAAGTGATATTCTACAATTACTGGGATAGATTAACTGATGTATTTCACCATCAATTTAATAGTAGTAGTTCAGCAATATTTCAAATGACTTATTTAATATAAATTATTAGAATACGCAGAAAAAACAAGCCTGTGACAGTCATTTTCTATACAAATATCTATTGTGCACTTCGAATGTGCCTATGGCTTTTCTAGTGCGGAGACTGTCATATTAAGATATTCCCTTTGATATTTGCAGTCTAATGGAGGTGATCAGAGAGGTAAAAAGCAAAAATAACGTTTTAAAAGTGCTTTGCTTTGTGAGCTCACGGGCGCTCACATGAGGACAACCTTGGCCACATTTTGGGGCCATAAAAACTTCAAGGGGAACATAAGAGACCTGGAAGTGATAGAAAAGTTAGGTGATGATGAACAAATGTGCTTTAAAAAATCATTGGACACAAAGTCAGCTGAAGACTGATGAATGTTTCTGAACATGTGTTGCTCCCAAGCCCCACTTAATCAGGGTAAATTTTCTGGAGATGAGCCTTGAGCACAGTTTTAAAATAAGGAAATCACAGCCTAAGGGTAGAGGGGCAGTCCTTTTTGCTCCATCCTTCTTTGGTCTTACTCTAAAAACAGACGAGAAACAAACTGTGTTTCTAGGACAATCCTAAAAGAGAATATGCTAAAACACGCCAAGCCAACAACAACAAAAAATTAGAGGTGAAACAGTAAGGACACAATTTCTTGAAATATGCTGGAAACCTCCAGACTTATTCTAAGTTCCTGTATCTGCTCTGCTCTTGACTTCAGGACTTCTGATATCCGACTCTCCAAAATAAATGCTCTAGGTGATGCCTCTCATTAAAGAGAATTACCCTTAAGGATGTCACCAAGATCTCAAAGCCTAATGCAGAATCACACACGTCTTTAATGGCAGTTCAACTCCCAATTATAAAAGCAACAGTGAGCCACAGCACCAGCAGTCAAATTACGCTGCACATTTAGAAAGGGCTAGGAGGGCTTTATGTTCACAATCTCATCTCACCCTCACAAAACCTCTGCATGGTAAGTATTAGCATTACCTTTAGTTTATGAATGAGGAAATTCAGCTTAGGGAAGTTCATTAAAGTGTCCCCAGTCCCACAGCTGGTGGGCACAGGAGTGAGATGTGCACACAAGGTTGCCTAATTCCCAGGCCATGGTTTTAGAGCACCCTCCGTCCTGGTTTACTGCCTCCAATATCATCCATCAACACAGAAGGCCAACACCAGCTGCCCAACAGCAAGGGAGAACAAGGAAGGGCTCAAGGAGAGCAAGAGAAAGGAGGAAAAGGGTTTGTTCGTCCAGAACCTCTAAAGTTGCAGATTAATTACTAGCAGAGAAGGACTGGAGAGATGGGACAAAGGGAAGATCTGACCTAGTTTGCTGAAACAGCACAGTATTTACATTGATTAAAAGAATATGCAAAAGATAACATGAAACACAGTGGCTATGCTTCCAGAGTTACCATTTTACACATTTTAAATTTTGTGCCAGCTCTTCAAACAAAGAGGCTGGACTTCCTTTTTGCCCCTAGGCAACCAACACTAGAGAAATAATTTTGAAGGTAAAAATGTTCCATTCTTTTTTTACATATTGAGCAATAAAATACCAGTATATTTTAAGAAAGAGTAACAATCCTTGCTTTCATCTTTGAGTTTTAAAATAAATCGTTCCATCTGTGTCATCAGTGAGAGAAGAAAATTTGGTTGATTAGCACTGAGTTCTCATCACAAATAAATAATATCTAATACCTTTTCTTAATTTTTATTGAATTGTTTGAAATCTTCCTCCTTTTTAAAGAGGATCTACACTAAACCTATAGGTGTAAATCATACCCTCAAAATATCCAAGGTAATTATTATACTTGGGGTCTATAACCCACAGGCAAATCCGCCCCTTGCCTCTTTTTGTAAACACAGTTGGATTGGAACACGGCCATACTCACGCATTTACTAGTGTCCATGGTTGCTTTTCAGCCACACCAGCCAAGTTCTGTAGTTGCTATAGAAACCGTATGGTCCACAAAGCCTAAAGTATTTACTACCTGGCCCTTTATAGAAAAACTTTATTGATCTCTGCCCTGTGCCGTTGATACATCCACAGGTAGAAGATTTCATTATTCTTCTCTAAAGTCTGTCTTCTGGATACTCATCAGTTCACTCATTCATTCACTTTTTAATCAACTAATGTCTGTGAAACATCTTCTGCACCTCTGGCACAGAGATGAAGAATGGTGGGGAAACAGACTAACAGAATACCACCAGATGATGATGGTTCTAATAAGATAGGAGCCTGGTAAAAAGGAGGTCCAGGAGGTGTCAGGCTGAGGGAATCAGATAAGGTCTCTGGCAGTATATAGTTCAGGCTCTTCAGGTGTTATGGTTGAAATGCTGTTACCCATTTAAATAGTGATGTCAAAAGTCTCGGGGTTACATTATGCTTTTATGACTTCACAAAAGGCACATTCTGACTTACTGATAGATCTTTAGTATTCTAAAAGTGTTGAGATGGTTTGGAAGAGATGTCGCTTGTTTGTGAGATCAGGACAGCTGATCATCTCCACGCATCTGGCAGTCAGGGCACCAGCTCTTCCCCAAAGTTCGAAGGACTAAGTAACATTAGATATGAGACAGAACAGAGCCGGGGAAACTATCTAACACAAGATCCACCCGAGCTAGGTGGCCCACAACAAACAACGGCTTCTATTCCCTTTCTTGTTTACCCACCAGTCCCACCAAAAGCTCACTGGTCTATGTTGAACCTTATAACTGGAGAAGTTAGCCTCATGTGTGAGCGGAAAATAAATACCTAATAAATAAATAATTGATGCAATAAGTGAAGGTGATTGCTGTTTTGGGTTTTTAATGAATGGCAGAGGATGAAATGAATACTATGACGTACATTGTCTAAGTGAATATCCAGAACTCAAGCTTCAGTATAAGTATAAACATAAGCTTAGCTAAGTCAGCATGAATGGCATTTTAAAATATGCTTGTTTTTGTTTTTGACATATTGAATACTTACTACCTCCCTGGTAATGAATAAAAACAATGAAAAATTCTTAGCAACCTAAACAACCAAATAAGATTTATACTGAACAATTTCAATGTGATCAATTTATTTTTAATCAAACAATATTTGATTTGACAAGGTACCTGGAAACAGGCTGTGCTTTACATATAAATTAGCCATATGCTTATTAAAGAATGTTAATAACAGTATGTTGACATTTTTCCTTAAGTAATATTAAAGTGACATTTTATTTCTATATATTTTCATTTAAATTTTTAAATAATTGTCCAGTGACCTAAGCAAATACTGTAAAAGAAAACCAAACAAAAAATTCACTGATTAAAATAATAAAGAAATTGCTTCATTTTGGAAGGAGCAGTACACCTTAGGATAAGGTAATCTTTTATTCAACAAATATCAATTGACATTTTATTCAATGAAGAAAGATTGCTAGTATAGTTGGAAACCTTTACAGTAAATGTTTGTGTGGGGACTCTTAAAGGTTGTAAGGTATATCTATCAATTACAACATCAGAAAATATACTCTATTTTTTTTAGCTTGATAATCTTTATTTATATGCTGAAATGTAAACACTCCTGGATTTTAAATACATATATATATGATTGATAGATTTCTTGGCGCTGACACCATTAGAGGATTTGTTTTGTTTTGGTATAAGGAGGAATCACTGTTTAAAAGCATTATGTATCTATGTAGTTCTGAATGTTTTAAAAAATCTAAATGAAAAGAAAAATCTACACCTAAATTTTCTCTTGCCTTTTTCATGTGGAAAAAAAAAAAATCTAATGTGACAAGTTTACAAGAATCTCTATTATTCTTTTCCTTTATGTAGCCCAGTGTCTTGTTTACTTGTGATACCCCAGTATGTTCTTACAAAAATTAATTTCAAGTCTAAAAGGCAGGATAATCACTACTTTCAGCAGTAAAAGGTATCAGAAAGAAATTGCAGTTTAAGCATAGATAGCATATAATTAAGAATAAGAAAAATTATTCTTGAATATGTGTTGCTTTAATTTTTCTCCTGATGGCTTTTCAGATTACTTTAAAAAGAGCTATCAAAACTCCCCCTCTAGAAAAGGTCTGCTAAAAGGCACAGACACTTGGAGATCCACGAGCAGGAAAAAAATAGGTCATCTTATAAAATTGATTATGTTAGCTGTCTACATGCAGTGCATATGTCAGCAACAAGGAAAACAGCCTCCAGATACATTCTGCAGGCAGATTTTCTTCTGGAGAGAAACCTATGTCTTCCTATACGTTGTGAAGCCAACACGGTAGAGTAGGGGTAGTTAGGTTTCATCCACATCAGGCTGGCTTTTTAAAGACAGCCAATAATATTTTGTAATAACAAAAGTGATATATATATACATATTTTTTTTCCTGTCTAAACCTGGAATCCTGACCACCTTATTTTAAACAAGCCAGAGACTGCAAGCTTCAATCTGTTTGGATAGAAAGGAATTTATATAAATGTTTTGTTCAAGCCCAAAAGGGAAACAGAGTATAAACATACAGTGTATCAAAGATGCATACCCAGCTTCTATATAGCTTAGTGCACAGAAGAGGAAAAATAATCTAACCTTCTGGTAGTCATCCCCAGCAGTCTTTAAGCTTAAATATCTTGTAATTTGCAACATCGTTTCCATGACCCCAACAGTAAGAGATGAACCAGAATTTCACAACTGTCCTGCTCTCCTCCCCTCGGGCATCTTGAGAGGAGGGAGAGAGAACAAGAAGGTCAAAGAACAAATGGAAACAAAATCTGTGTTTTGCACTCTTTCTCTGCACTTGAGAAAGAAAAGGAGGCAGATAAATCTGTATAATACTAAACCAAATCTCTTTAATTCCAGTCAGCTTTTATCATTCAGCCACTGAGTCTGTGTGTGGAAAAATTCATGCTAATTCCCCCCTAGCAACAGCCTCAGCCTATCAGGAGACTTTATGTGCCATGCAGCTGCCAGCCAGAGAGAATGACTCTAAGTAGGTCAGGCCTGTATTTCTAAAAATGCTACGGTCTAGTAACCCCACTGTCCCGTCTGTCTGCCCTGCCCCATAATAACCTCAATTGCTTGGTGACACAATGACATACTATCCTGTTAGAGTGCAATCACATCATGCTACATTATTCTGCTGCGAGCATGACTGCTGGGTGAAGGACCCTCAGAGGGGCAGCATTAATCAGGCAGGCATTCATGTCCAGCAGCACTTCGCTCTAGAAATGGGGACTGCATTAATGACCAGCTGTTTGAACTAACACAAACAAAATAATGTCTTCCACCCTGTTGGGTGCACAGAATACACTATTCTGATGTGGCAGGTTCCGCTTCTTGACTAAAGCAAAGATGTAAATTAAACGGGCTCAGACAATGTCAGTTTTGGCAACCTCGAAGTGAGTATATTTAAATTATATTACATGTGATTCAAAAAGCTATTGATTTAATATACACAGCTTTCCATGCCTACAATTTTCCCTAATCCACATTAAAAAAAAAAAAAAAAGAAAAATGCATACATGGGTAATGCAATACATATGCACATATTGCCCAAAAACTAAACACGAGCCGAACTAAAACTGACTTCTTGGGCAGAGAAACAAAACAGGTCAGGAGTAATTGTGCGGCATGAACACAAATAGAAATGCAAAATGAATGAATGAATGCCGTGGAGGAGCGCTGAAAACAAATAAGAGTAAACATTCTAAGCTTGCGGACCAATCAGCTCCTCCCACCGTCTCTTTGTGGAGGCTGCAGTAGCACCAAAATCTCGAAGCACAGGAGAGGAGGGAGGGAAGTGAGCATGGCCTTCAAATCTCAACAACCGTGGTAGCCTGACTTCCCTTAGCCATTACTGACTAGCTGCTGTTTGGCTTCAGAACAGCAAAAGCTCCTTCAAGGTTTAAACTCAGGACATCAAAAAAAAAAAAATCGAAACTTTTTAATTCTGAAGTGGGAATGTTAGAATTTAATTTACCCTATTTACTTGAGTGTAACTTTTGATGTCTCTCTATTGAAATGCACACACACACACACACACACAAATTATGTACGGATACAAAGATAGGCGACTGGCAGTGGCTCCTTTGGCTATTTAGTAAAACATCTTATACTGATAGAGCTTGCATTGATATATTCTCGCATGATTAATTTGCACATTTAAGGGTTCACAGTTTCATTTAATGAATATATCCCCCCTGACAAATTGATAATTTAGCCTTCAATTATACAGAATTCAGCAAGACTTCTCTGTGTAATCCATCAGTATTTGATTTACAAACATAGAAAATTTCTTAATCCATTTGCCCTTGTTTGAACTGGGTTTGATAACTTAGTTATGACTATCTTCTTCACTTTGTGGCACACATCACATAGTTATTCTTGGATAGATACAGTCACTGACGCAACCATGAACCGCTAATTACAAGCTGCTGACATTCTGCTTGTCTATGCAGCTTTGAAGTTCCAAGTCTGCTTTTCTCTTGTGCGCTTGCTCCATTTCATTCTCTTCCTCTCATGCCACCCACCCCTAATCACCTCGCTCTCTTTCCTCTTTTGACTTTAAACCCTTTCTGGATTCACTCTAGGACTATCTGGAGAAAGAGGTACGCACGATCAGATTCTGTATCTTAGTGCTTTTCCTTTCCTTCCGTACTATCCCTGCACACCCATCTACAGTTTGAAAGTACAGTAATAAGATCCTCACCCAGCCCCACCCACAGGAATGCATCAACAGCTGGCCAAACATAATCCAGCACACAGAGCTGCCTTTGTAGAATTAGTGACAAACAGTGGAAGGGCCAGACAGGCGTCCCAGAAGAGCTCCCCATGACAACTGGGAAAGCTCCTCACCCCCAGGGTTGGCCGACTCCACTGAGCTGGGGTTGGAGAACCCCAGTCCTCACATCTGAATGTACAACAAGCCTCCAGTGCCTGCCCTCAACCTCACCAGAATCTACTCGGAGGGGACTCGGCTCTCCGTAACAGCAGGTTAGAAACAAGCATTCTCCATATTGACAACGGCCATACTCCGCCTCATGGCACATGCCTTTTGAAATGCAACAGGGCAGATCTGCAAATCACATGAACAACATTTACACCTGTACCTAACCGCCTAGCTGTGAGGCGGCAGGACCACCTCTCCTCTTTAGAATTTCTTTTGCAAATTACAGTCTGATCCCAGCATTCTGAACCATGTAAATGTAACACAGTATTCATCTCCACTGAGCATTTGGCATCTGAAGCTTGTGGTAGCCAGCTGGTCTCAAAGTCATCTGGGATACATTTATTTTGATTAAATTGATCGGATTTCTATTTACAGGATAGAATTTTTTTGCCATTACTGAATACAGCTGTGTTTACAGGGATTTGTAGGAGAAGAAAACAAAACCCACCATCGGTCCTAGCAAAGCACAGAGCACTCAGAACTGGAAGGAGTTAACACAGAGGGGGCTTGCTTTCACAGTAAAAAGAAAATTCTGCATGCAGCTGCTTTGGCCATGCTGTCTCACTAGTCAGGAAATGGGTGTTGAGCTGGAGCTGACAACACAAGCTGCAATCAAGCCCGATCCAGCAAAGTGACAGACTTCCTGTGTAAAATGGTCAGAAACCTCTTTCCATGTCTCTACACGCATGCACATGCATTTAAATCCATGCTGCGAGGCTGCGATTCTCTCTGGGGACCCTGGTACAGTCACCTAGCCCATCAGTTCCTTCGCTGACAGCGCCGGGGACATCCAGACTAGGATCTACAGTTCCTCCATCCGTGTGCCGGGTGATAAATTATGCCATCCTCCTAGAATGAGAACGCACAGCGAGCGGCAGACAATCGCCCCGGCGTTCGGCGTCTCCTCTTGCCTTGCACGCGCTCCCTCACTCCGCCTTTCTCCAGCTCTGCCTTCCCAGGCACATGCATCAGATGCCTTGTTTATCCATCTTCAGCTGCGCTCCGAGGTAAAATGCCACCACATCTCGCCACGGCTTGTCCCCCAAGACTGAATCCCTGGGAGCAGCCCGAGCTGGGCGCACGCGGCGGGGGCCACGGCTGCCCTGCCCTGCGCAGCACCGGTGGGCACTGCATGGATGGAATTCCCAGCTTCCCCTTCCCCGGTCCTTGGCGTCCTCTCTGGCCGTCCCTCCCCAGGTCTTCTGCAGCTTCACCCCGTCCTGCAGGTCCCCTCGCCCAGCTGCGAGGCAGGAGACCGCGGCCAGAGCTCCGCCAGCAGGGCCTTCTTCCGCAGGGCGCAGACGCATGATTCCGGGATCGGGGCACCACGGCGAAGCCCGGGCGGGAGACGCAGGAGCAGCTCAGGTAACCAGGGAAAGCTTGGTGTGCCCACGGAGATGCCGCCCTGGAGCTATGAGGAAAGACGGTCTGGCTTCAGAATTAAAAAAAAAAGAAGGG